GCTATGGTATCCTACCTGAAATCCCTCAGCTCTCACCGTAGAGAGCCCCCAAGCTAAAGGCAGGACGGGGAGCTCCTGACTGTGCAGTAGCAACCTGAGGGAGACATCCAATTCAGGTGCAACCTTCTGGAAGCACCCCTATCTCTTCCCCTTGACTCTCCAGGGAGCCCAGGTGCCTAATTTAGGTTTAGTGGGTTGTACCTAACTTGGAACATCCCCCTTTGAAAGTTTCCAGTGGTTGCAGTGTCTTTTTGGCTAACAATCCAGTATAATCTTTTTCTCTCCTGTTAACTAATCTATCAGTGGATGGAAACCTGGATCTGGAACAACGTGGGAAAGTTGGGCAAGCACAAGAACAGGTGAAGTAGTTTCTTTCCTCTCTGAGGTAGCAAGCTTGATGAAGGGGCTGCTTAGCTTCCATGACTCTTTTTATTTGACCATGCAAAGAAAGGACTTGATGGGCTGCTCATCTGGCATACTCACCCTGTTCCCCTCGGCCCTTGCAAGGCACCAGAAGGATCGAGCCGGGGGAACACAAGCTCTGCGGCACCTCGCCTGTCCTGCCTCCCCTCCTCAAGCCACCACATGTGTCTCTATGCTGTGCTGCAGTTTTTAGTAGAAATGTGGTGACATGCCAATGTTGACTTCTATTGGAAGTCTTATATAATATTCTCCAGTAATTCTCTTTTAGGGACAGAGCACACCCTTTTCTGGGTAACCGGTAACCTATTTCATGATGGGCTGAACTAATAGTTACAGTCGTGCCTAGTCCCAGCGCTTTGAGCCCAGCTCTTGCCTTCCCTGTGCTTTAAATCCAGGTCACCTTCTTGCTCATGGTCAGTCATCAAGCCATGTGCAGGCTTGGGAAAGTTTAGTTCAATTGATGAATCTGTTGTTCCCATTTGTTTGTTTGTTTTATGTAGGTTTTAATAGCAAAAGGTGTGAATTTCAGTCCAGGCAGCAGACTGCACTTATTCAGAACACCTTATATTACTTCTTTGTATGCAGTATTTGGACTAACCAGACAGTTTTAAGACTTGTATGTTTTTATAAACTAAAATCTGAATCTCCAGTTGAGAGTTTTCCAGTAAGTAAATGTAGAGGCTAGGCAATGCAGATGATCTACTCTTATTCTTATAGATCAGCAGCTCTCTTACATTATATATGTCCTATAGGATAGGATTTGATTTAAGTTTTGAATAACCCCTCTCTGACCTTGGATTTACAATAATCCTTTCTTATAACAAGGCATTAAAAAAAAAGAGTAATTTGCAGAGAGAAACAGCTTTTCAGGGAAAGCTCTAGAATCATATACATATATGTAAGTGTGTGTATTAATAAATATCTATACATATATATATGCACATACATACATATATGCGTATATATGTAAGTAAGCAGGCATAAAACTTACTTTTTTTTAAAGATTAGATCTGATCATAAAAGTGATACAGTTTAAAAAAGACAATCCTGTTCTAACTCACGATGTCTATGCCAGCTAAAGCTTTGAGACACGTTAGCATACTTTATTTGAGGAAGCTCAGGTTTACATTAATTACTAAAAATGTCATCTTTCACTTCTAGCTTTCTAAGGAAGTTTGGCCCCTCTTCCCTTATACAGATCTGGCCACAGTACACTAATTCATTCATCACCTCCAGACTGCCTTACTGTGACTTGCTGCATCTAAAGCTGAATTTGAGGATGATGCACAGATTTCAATGGGGGCAGGATGTGGTTGCATCCCTTCTCCATGCTTCGGGCTGCAGTGGGCACCTGAGGCCTGAATTCAGCTCTCTCTGCTGCTTCCCAGTTAGTTTCCAACACCAATTTAAGGCACTGATCTAATTTTCAAATCAATAAATAGATCAAGCTTCAACCACATCAGAGACATCATTAATCTGTGCATGACTCTAGCTGCTACGCTCCTCGAGCACAGCACAAAACGCAGAGCCTGGGCAGACCCGTTCTCTTGACAGCTGACAAGAAAAATCCTCTCAAAAGAGACCAGATGAACCCAGAATCAGGCTCCCTGAGGCTATTTCAGAGCTTTTCTTAGCAAGCCGTTCCACACTTGGGTACTTAAATTATGAACACCACTCTTCTATCTCTGAATCTCCTCCCACCCACCTTTCCTCTACCAAAATATTTACTCCAAACATAGAAAAAATGTTGGCCTCGAGAGGGAAGAGTTCCAGGCACTGCATGGTATCTGCTTGATTTCTGCGGTATTACAGAGCGGGCAACAGTAAAAAGAACTCCAAAATAAAGCAGTTAGTTGGGTTGTTCAGTATTTTTAATTCTGTATTACTTCTGCAGCCCTTTGTGGGTGTTCTGGGACACACAGGTAAATACATAAGGTCAACTGTGGAAGGCAAGGATATTACCAGAGAGAAATAGATACAAGAAGCAGGGACAGCAAGGTAGTTGATCTCATCCTGAGATTAACTGCTCCTAATTCAAATTTGCACAGCTCCAGGAGAAGGCACCATCTCATCAATCAGAGCTTCATTGTAATCGCATGATTTTTCTTATTAAAAATGAGGTATGCGATAGAAAAGCAAGCCTGATTCTTAGATTCTGGGTTAAATCGACAGCGTTGGCAATCAGAGAAATCCTTTTTGTGCCTGGTAAATAAAGCAGAGACAAAAGTGGCTAGCCAAAGGGGTATTGTGTATTGCCCTTACCAAAGAAGATTAAACAAGGAATAAAAAGGATATAAGTATAGACAGTCAAGCTGAGCCTGAGTTGTACCTGTGCTGCTGAGAGTGTGTATTACTGTCTTGTTGGACAGTGGACTTTAATGCTTTAGAGGGGAGTTAGGAAGCCAGGCTTGTGCAGAGTTTGGCCTTGCAGGACCAGCAATGAGGAGGATTAGAATAGAACGGTCGGTGCAGAAAATGCTTGGAAATGTCATACGGGTCCTGGTGGATATGCAGATAATATGCTGTGAAGTAAGTGCAGTACCTTGACAAATGAGTGTCATTTATGTGTGTAGGCATGAATTGCAGAAAACAGCTGTATGTGGCTCATCTGCCAGCAGTTAAAGAGGAAAGCCCAAATTCCTTTTATCACCTTAATCTGGGTTGCCTCCCTCTCTTCTTTTTTGTACTGTTGTAGGAATTTTCCAGGCAAATGTGTTGTCTGGTCAATGTTTTCCCTTCCAGCGCTTCCAGCTGTGGCGTCTTCAAAAAAGATTTAAATCCCCGTCATGTCCCTGTTGTAATTATGTTATAGTGCTCTACGGATGTGAGGGTGGGGAAGCTATTTTTTCTTGACCTCAGCTGGTGATCAGTTTATCCCCTGGAAGCATGACAGTTGATATTGTTGGTCATTTTTCATTAGGTAGTGTAATATTAGATACTATTCTATTCATACAAATGTCTAATCCAGCTTTTGTTCTCTGAGCTGGCTCTGCCAGAGGATATCCGAGCAGAAGAGAAATGAAGACCAAGGCAGAGAGCGTACCAATGCGGTGTGACTGATGTTACAGGGAATGCGTAGCAGTAATTGCAGGTTTTTCCTCCCCTAGTTTCCTCTTCCTGTTGCTGCTGAAGTTAATGAGGATTTGAAATAATCTCTCGATATTGTGTTTGTATAATACTTGCTGATATTATGAACAATGAGGGCTTTAAATATGCCAAATATTGCCATTTCA